CAGATGATTTGAATGACACAAACATGAAAGTGGAGCGTGCTACAAAAAGAGGGGAGATTGTAACCTGGATTAAACTGTGTTGTGTTAGATCATATTATATCATATATCATATGTTATTATATTACTCACTGTCGTCCTACACTGAGCTGTGCTTGCAAAGCTACTCTATTTGTTCTTTTGCTAAGATTAGCATGATGGGGTAAAGAAAACGCTCCAAAATGTCTATCTTCTCTATTTTATCCCAGACTCTTTCTTAGCAGGCAGGGGCATCCTGGCAGTGGCAACTGGATAGAGCATTAAAACAGCAGGAGACTAAAGAATAATCAGTCTTGCTACTGAATGATTCCTTAGGGGGAAGTGAGTCAATATATTAAGAATTATTTTATAGAACAAAATGAATAAAGTCTAATTAACGGGCAGGAAGACATATGGAAGTGATGTTTTGATTCTAAGAACATAAGAATCACTGACAACAGGTTGGATCTGGCATGGCCATTGAGCAAATGGCTCCATGATGGTCTCCACACCATCATGTTGGGCTGAAACAACCACCACATGCCACCATCCTGGCAGCCTCCCCACAGGGTTCTAGAACTCCATCATGACAAGATTATTCAGAAAAAAGCTCTGCATATATGCTGAACATTCCAGCAGGACCACTCCTTAGGTAAAAAGACATTATTGTTTGTACTGAATAAAATACAATTCCAGACAGAAAATATTTCAGTTCTCTAACAATTTTTCTATTTACCTATCATCTACTTTATTATCTTTTTATAGTCTATGAAATAAGCCTGGCAATTTTTCTAACAATATTAACTCATAAATCTGATGTGCCCCTGGGGCTAAGCTAAATATACAGCCCATTCTCTCTGGGGGTGTCTGCTGTGGATTTGCAACCTGTTGCACAAATCAAGTCTCGGTTTTGTCCTGCACAAAACATTCCTCACATTTAATTATCAGAATGTGAATTACTTTCTTCGCAAACAGCTGAGTTTTCAGACCAGCAGCAGCTGACTGAATTAGGTTGGTCTCATTTAACACTGCAAAGAGCTATGTCTGAGACTCAGAGAACAATTTAGCATATGTTTGCTGCACTGAATTTGGGCCCCAGTTTACTGCAGAAGTAGTGACATCACACTGGGTAACCTGTGACTTAAAGATTTTAGGTTATGACTGGCATAAGGTGTTTGAGGTGAGTTCTTTAATAAGTGTCTGACTCACTCTCCTGTTAGAATGACTACTTATGGTTACTATTATTCTTATTCTTATTCTTATTATCACACCCAATGTTGACTATGGACCTGAGAACACTAAAATAACCTCCACCAGCTTTAGAGGCACAGGCTACCAATACATGACTCCAAATTCTTTAAAATAAAAAGTTCCTTCACTTATACACAAATTAATGTCATACACTTGAAAAATGCAAGCAATAAATTTAAATTTAACTTGGGGATTAAGGATGCCCATTCTTATACAATTGAAAATCCACATGTAACTCTTGACTACCCCCAATTAACTACTACTAGCCAGCTGATGACTGAAACAGTCAAAGAACACTCATTTTGTCTAAGTCTCATATACTGAATTCTTACAATAAAGTCAGGTAGAGAGAAGATGTCATGAAGAAATTCATAAGGAAGAGAAAACACATGGACAGCGTTGGACTTGCCAGGGGTCATCTGTATTGCCTCATGGGTTACCCTAAGTTTACACCATCTGTTTACAAGATTATCTGCATGTAAGTGCACCTGGGCAGTACAAGGACCACCAGTCCATCCTTATCACTACCTCAGTGTGATCTGAATCCACTTCCGTTCTCACATAGAAAAGTTTTCAACTGATTTAGGTTCACCTTGTTACCATCAGGCCAGGCCCTGAGTGGGAATAACCTGGAAGGAGATTCTCACACTGGAACCTGACTCTACAAAGAAACTAGACTGTGAAACTTGATTCTAAAAATAAAGATCAGTATGATGAAAGATGCGTAGCTAGTGGCAAGGATCTTTGTTTCACAAGAGTGATCTAATTCTCTCTTAAATGATAGAGTCAAGCTTGTTACCCTTACCACTGCTTTTTGTTACTGGAATCCTCAGGGACTCACTTTCATCTGCTCCAAAACTAGTGGCTGAATAGCTTGAATATAAAGAAAATAATGAAATGACAAAATTCCCCTCAGAAGAGGGTTTGCCTTGTAATCAGATCTTCCCAGTTATCCACTTTTCAGGCTCCTTCCTATATGCTTATTTTCAGCCACAAGTGCCCTCTGGAGCAGGTGACAGCAGCCTGTCAATAAAGGCTAGTTTGAGGGGAGGTGCTTTATGGAGGTCACATGAGAGAATGAATAAAATAAAGGAGTTTGTTAAAAACAGGTCTTCTGAGGGGAGCAGAGGGTGAGACAGGAGAGGTCTGCTGCGCCATGTGGGTTGCTCCCTGGCTGGTGGGGGATCGAAATCATGCTGCAATGGCTGCGGATAGCTTCACAGGTTGCATCTTAACCCTTGCGCCAGTCACTCTGCCTCTTCTATTCCGTACTCTGTCTCCGGTGAATCCTCTCACCCCCCACGCCTCTGGCCTGTACCCCAGCTCTTGTATGCATAAATAAATAAGTCTTTAAAAAAAAAACAGGTCTTAAGAAGAAAACATTTAATGCACTGGAATAGTTGCTAGAGTTCACAAAATATACAACTATAGGCAAAAATGTTTTGCAAATACTGCTTGAAGGTATAAATGAGTGTCGGAGGCTTAGACGACACTTTAAGAAGCAATGACAAACATAAACTCATCAAGGACTATATCGAAATACTTAGATGGAAATAAATAATTTGCTCTGGATTTTGCTCTGGAAAATTGGGTAACGAAATGTGCTTACTAATGACAAAAGCACCTGAAATGTGTAAGGTGTTTTCATTAGCTAAAAGAAGAAAAGGGAGAATTTCTAAGTCAATATGAGATTATAAACATTTGCGACTAAATTAATGTATTTCATCTACAACCTTGGAAATGTATATATCCATATTGAACAAAAAACCAGTTTAGGTCATTTCAATGGGCATTTCTTTATAAAACAGTGATTTCTATGGTTCATTTTGATGAGGGAGGGTGAGGAAAACTTTAAAAATATATTCATATTATTCATCATTTTTCTTTTTTTTTTTTTTAATTTATTTATTTATACAAGCACTGGGTACAGTCAGAAGAGCGGGAGGGTGAGAGAATTCACCAGAGCCAGAGCGGGGAGCAGAGCAGACAGAAGGACCGAAGTACACTGCTGAGGGGAGCAGCGGGCGGCAGGAGAGGTCTGCGCGCCACGTGGGACCCTCCTCCGGTGGCCGGGGAGCAGCCGGGGATCGAACCGGCGCTGCAGAGGCTGCGGGCAGCTTCGCAACCCAGCGCTCAACCGCTGCGCCACTGGGAAGGCCCTTATTCATCATTTTTCTAACACTAGTATTTAAAATTAAAATTCTCATCTCCAAAGTTTGTGTTTCCTGAAACTTATTCTCAGAAATTCAGAGGTTATGCACATTAGTGTAATAGTTTCTGTGTGGAAGGCAGAAAACGAGCAGACCACAATTTTTTAAATATGAGCTTTTAAAAAACAACAAAAACATATCCAGAGTGATCCGTGCTGCAGAGTATCCCTTGAGTCCACTGGTTCACTTGGTAAATGGCATCTCTCAGGCCAGTGTCTGGATTGCCCATCAGTGCAAGGGAATAATGTGTCAATCAATGGAGAGTTGCCCTCCCATCAGACACCGGAGTATGTGGAACATTCTCCTGGGGGTCAAGTACATTGTGGCACAAAACATGCCTGCCCAAGCATCTGTCCAAAATTTCAAGTTGGCGAAGCACCAAGAGAAGCTTTGTACACCACAAAGTGGTCCCATAGGCAGGACTTGGTAACATTTATAGAGATGGCCAGCTTGAGGAGTAGTAAGGTTTAATTTACAAACTAAATACTGAGCACAGAGAAGACTTAACACCTCTACCCACACAGCACCACAAGGGCCACAGGCCAGAAGTAGAAGCTGTCTTTTGAGAAAAGGTTTATCAAAAAATTACCTTGGGGGCCACCCTGGTGGTGCAAGGGGTTAAGAAGCAACCTATGAGGGCCTCCCCGGTGGTGCAGCGGTTGAGCGCTGGGTTGCGAAGCTGCCCGCGGCCTCTGCGGCGCCGGTTCGATCCCCGGCTGCTCCCCGGCCACCAGAGGAGGGTCCCACATGGCGCGCAGACCTCTCCTGCCGCCCGCTGCTCCCCTCAGCAGTGTACTTCGGTCCTTCTGCCTGCTCTGCTCCCCGCTCTGGCTCTGGTGAATTCTCTCACCCTCCCGTGCTTCTGACTGTACCCAGTGCATGTATAAACAAAAAAAAAAACAAGCAAATAAAATAATAAATAAATAAAAACATGCCTCTATAAAAAAAAAAAAAAAGAAGCAACCTATGAAGTTATCCACAGCCTCTGCAGCATGAGTTCGATCCCGGGCCGGGGAGCTACCCAGATGGAGCAGCAGACCTCTCCTGTCTCATCCGCTGCTCCCCTCAGCAGGGTATTTCAGTAGATCTGCCTATTCTGCTCCCCACTCTGTCTCTGGTGAATCCTCTCACCCCCTCGCCCTGCACCTCTGGCCTGTACCCCAGTTCTTGTATGCATAAATAAATCTTATAAAAAAATTACCCTGGGATGTAAAGAAGCCATAGCATTAATAATCCACAAATATATTTAAAACCCAAATAGATAAGTACATTTTTGTAATGATTACCGAATAAAATAGCATTATCATAATAAAACTATTTGAAAAAGTAATTATGGAAAAATAGTCATTAAGTGAACAAATTGCTTGCCTGCTACTTTTTTCCTTCTATGACTATTGCTGAAACAGGATGATCACTGTATCCATGGTTCTTGTATTAAGACATTTTTCTTTGCATGTAGGATTATTTCAAAGCAGGAGAAAAATAAGCAACAAAAAATGAATTAAAGATGAGCATGTTTTATACCTGAGAAATCTGCTGCCAAGAGATCTGCTGCCTTTAAAACCTTCACTTGCAAGATGCCAATGTCCTTCATGTCTTTCAGAGAGTTCTGTAAGCACTAAGGGGGAGAAAAATGAATCGCAAATGGAAATAGCTTTCTAATGTACCTCTTACTGCCATCAAGCCCTGTGAGAAGTACATTCTTTCTTACATAATTCTTAGAATGTGTTATATCAGTCAACAGGACAGCCGGACACTTACAGCAACCGGTTTAAAAGTGATTGAGAATTAATTAACTGCAGCTTCAAAATAAACAAATTACACAGCACAGACAATCTCCTTTTAACATCGCCCCCTGGTGATAGCACAGATACCCCACCGTGAAAATGTCTGTGGAATTACATTTGCTCTCACTTTTCCTCTCTTTTCTCATTAACGAAACCTTAAATCACCCGAGAAGCAACATCATTCTGACCTAGTTAGCGCCAAGTTTATGGATACCAGAGGATTAAGCGTGGACTTCTCAAAGAGCCTCAGGATCACTAGAAAGAGAGCAGTGATGGAAGTGGAGGGAATTTTCTGGTCTGTGTTTTAGTTAACTCATTAAATTAGAGATTAAGCATCTAGCATCCCTCTGTACTCACATTTACTTTAATATTTTAGTTTGCATAAGCCAAAGCTCAAACAGCTACTAAAAATCCTTAAGCATGCATGGCAAACGTTAGAACCTGTGTGCACAGCGTCATGAGAAACTGCTCGGAACAGAGAAGCAGATCAGTGCTCCACATGCCTGCAGAACACATCTGTTGAAAAGGATGCTGCTTCCAAACCTTTGCATATAGTATTTCCGTCATCATTAGATAGCTAAAAACCTGTGAGAAGCAGACCCCAGGGAGGACAGTAAAATCCTTGCTATTCAGGCATTTCAGGACAGAATAACAAAAGCTAACCAATGTAGGTTTATCTGACTGGATAGCACCATTCCTGAGAACTTTTGAAAGTTGTTGCTGTTTGTTATTTTCAGGTTAAAATCAAAACTAGTTTTTAAGCTAAGATGAAAATCTTTGAAATAAAGTACTTTTACAATTGAGGGGTGGAAATGCTTTTAAAGATTATCTATTCTTGCATCTACAAAGTAAATACAGGCATCTGGAGCTCTGGTCTTGTAACAAAAAATTATCTTTCTCTACCAAGCTAGCCAGTTTGCTAGTTGAAAAATCACTTGATATTTCTATTTTGTTTGTAGTTTCTTCAAATCACTCTCCATTCGTACTCCCCAAGTCCTGGAGAATTATTCAAAGCAGTCATGATGGTTTCACCTAATACTTCCTTAAAAGCACATGGCACTCCTCATGAATTTGGTAAATTTTGCAATTTGTCCATGAGAAAAGCTTAGGTAAAAGTTGTTTTTTTCACCATCAGATTTTCCTTGATTTAACTAATGTCCTCAGAGAGAATATTAATAATGAATTCTGTCAAACATTCTTCAGAGTAGGCCAACTTTACATGCAGAATCTATGTTGACAATAGGTATGTGGCTAGGTTTCTGATTCCCAAAGAGAAATAGTTACTCAATTAATCAATACATGTACCCAGGGAAGGATTCTGGAAGTGCTAACTTTATGTGGAGAATAATATTTCCATTAAATAAGGATTCATTTTTGCTTGATTTCAAGCCACTTTCCTAAAACATGCCTTTCATGTGTGGCAATAAAATAAACTTATTGATTTACAAAGAAGATAGTGTCAAATAGAATGTAAATACAGGCCCTTCGAAAGTCAGACTCAAAACACAAGTGAAGAGACTGGAGCCACGCCATTAACAACGCTGAGTAGACTTTTAAGCACATTGCAATTATTTGGCAAAAATCACGCACAACAATTATTATCTGTCATGGTGGAGTCTTTCATGTGTGCCTAATGCTTTGCTTTATAAAGCACAAGCATTTTTTTCACTTGCTGCTAAAGTTTCTGGAAACTTCTATAACATGGCAAGCATTCACAGTGGGCTAAAAAAAAATAAGCCTTTTTTCCTAAATGCTAAAAATTCAAAATACCTTGTTTAGGTTTTAAAATGGCAAGGCACATTCTAATCAACTTTCATCTTCTCACATTCTAATCGACTTTCTTGAATCTCTAGGTCTGAAGTCTTGTTTTATGAGACACACCCATTACATTTTGCGCAAACACCTACATGTACTTTTTTCACTCATAGAACTTGTTCCAACTTAAAAGCCAAGGTGGCACAGGCCAGGCACTCACATATCGCTGGGCGATCTGCTTCCTTTCCCTGGGGTCTGCCAAGGGGCACACACACAGGTCGGAGATCGAGACTCCTGTGCAGGGCGTGAGCGTGACCAGCAGCAGGAGTGTCCCAGGGCAGCTCTCCAGCGGCAGCTCCAAGCAGTTGGCTTGCTTGAGAGGAAGAGCTGAGATGTCCACCTTACACCTAGAGAAGTCACAGCGGTCAGAGGAAAAGAGTGATTTTAAAAGGGGCTGCCCCTGAAGAGCCAGGCTGATTGTTAGTTCGTCATCCTCCACATCTCACTTTGTCTGGACACGGGTGGATGGAGGCTCTGAAGATTTCAGGGGTTCCCCTGGCTCATAATAAAGTAAGACCCCACCTCGCCCCATGCTCGGGTTATTGGAAACCCACTTCAGTGATAGACGTGTATTGAAATCAAATCCTGTCCTTCCCTTCTACATCAGCCAACATTGTTTTTTCTCAGCGTTATAATGAAACAACATTGACCAGATGCTCTTCATTTATTTGTAAAATACCAGCATTGTCCCTGGACCTGGTGTGCAAACTCCCAGCCTGACACCCTCTAAAATTAAGAAGGGAAAGACGCTCCGAGGAATGGGGTGTGGGGGAAACAGCAAGGGGAAGGAAAGGCATCGGGGTTTTGCCAGCCTGGGTGACATCTCCCCAAAAGGGTCAGGTCAAGAGGGCAGGACAGGCCTTTGTGAGTTCCTGTCACCTGGGTGGGGGAACTAAGGCCAACCAGCGGAGACCCTAAGAGCCGTGGGAGAAACCGCATGACTTACAGAACGCAAATTCCTGAGATGTAGGGCTCTGTCTCCAGAAAGAACTTTTTAAGTTGGAGAAATCTATCAAGGCAGATCTTGTCTCAGGAAGCACCACCCCCCCTCGCCCTTGTCGCAGGTGCCCCAGCACAGGACAGAAACTTGGGGTTCGCCTGCTGTGGACAGTCTCCGCCTATGCACTATCACATTGGGCCTTTTCCTCCCACTAACCTATTCTGATCTTAATGTGCCTGACCATCCAGCCACGAAAGAACCTAGAGAGTGGATTTCCCCTGGCACCCCGACACTTAAATTTAACTGAGCAGGAGGACTGTGAGGTCAAGAAGAGGGGGGAGTCTCAAAGCCTAAGCACTGTGCGGACTCCCTGGTCAGATCTCCTGGCACAGGAATGAAGGACCACAGCTCACTGAGAGGAGCAGACAGAGGAGCACAGAGGGAGAGGACAGCAGAGACCACTTCTTGCAGGTCATGATAACTGGCAGGTTTCACTTCAAGAACCAGGTTAAGGGTTTTCCGAACAGGCACAGCATCTCAGGGTGTCTCAGGTGGGGCTCTGGGCCAAATGGAGCCAGAGGAGGCACTGAGATCCCACAGCAGCAGCGCTTGCAGGGGAGGCTGCAGGGGAGGCTGGGCCAACCACTCTCAGTTGCATTTTCCGCTTGGTAACAGCTGACATTCCGGGGAGACTGAACCTCAGTATCCATTTAAATACAACTGCAAACAGGGCAGCAGGGCTGAGGTGCTCCGTCCTTTCATTGCTTTAACACTGCAAACTCGCATGCCCTGGCACACACTACCTTAGCTCCTACACAGGTGGTGAGGGGGGCAGGGTGTGGAGGGAGAAAGATGGGGGCAAATGGGCAGGTCCTGGCGCTACTGTGGGTGTGTTTTCAATTCTCATTTGTCCTCTGCCCTTATTAAATGACTATTCCAGTCTTGATAAAAGGGTACAGACACTGCCTCTCAGAATGTTCCAGGATGGTTCTTACCACACGTTCTCAGTGGATTTTGTATGTTTGCAGGTAATCAGAACAAGGTATGCTTACCTGATCTGTAAAGCAATGCCAATCATCAACCACAAACTCATGTAAAATGTTCCAAGGAAATAAATTTGAAAGAAAACTTGCAACTTCTTTCCAATTAGAAAGAAAACTACACCAGCAAAATTATATGCCAGTTTTTACTACAAAATAAAAATATTTTACCTACTGTTATGTAGAAATAGAAGTAAATATATGTGGGTATGTATTTCCCAATTACAAAAAGTGATTCCACTTATGGCAAGAGGTAGCAATTAGAGCTTCTGCATGTAAGAAACTCATCAAGCATAAGACACGTTACAAAAAATATATCGTTTAAAATAAACCTCTATGATTTGAATCAAAGCATTTTTTCTGTAGCTGTGAGGAAACTTTTTAAGAAAACAGTTACTGTGAAAAAAGGTGTAGCTGCAAAAGTTTATTTCATAAGCAAATATGTAAGTGGGAAATCAATTTTGTATGGAAATAAATCTCATCTCCGCAAAATGAAAGGATTGTCAAGTGTGTTAGCCCTGCTATCTCAACAAAACGGAGTCCCCACAAATTCTTCTTCACCAACAGTGCAGGAGTATACCTTGGGGGGACCTTTTTGCTAAGTATTATTGTATAACATCATAAAGACTTCCTTTTAGGAAAGCTCTTTATCATACAAAATGAATGATCAAGATTTGTAAGAATTTTCTCCAGTGGTCACTTTTAGTCCAAATTAGCAATAAATTATTTTTGGCACACTCATCTCAATACCATTAATAATGGCAATTTACTTTTGAAACTGACCATTTTGTTGTGAGGGTTATTTTTGGGGGCTGAGGGAGGTTGTTTTTGAATTATCAGAAGTTATGGAGCAAATGAGGGTCTGAGAGTTTAAAATGATGCATGCTAAGGCAATAATAAAAGCTTTCTGGGCCTCCCTTGGTGGTGCAAGCGGTTGAGCACAGTGTGGTGAAGCTGTCCGCAGCCTCTGCAGCACAGGTTCGAACCCGGCCGGCTGGCGAGGGTCCCACTTGGCGCAGCAGACCTCTCCTTTCTTGCTCACTGCTCCCCTCAGCAGTGTATTTCAGTCAGTCTGCCTGTTCTGTCCGCTGCTGTGTCTCTGGTGAATCCTCTCACCCTCCCATACATCTGGCCTGTACCCCGGTTCTTGTATAAATAAATAAATATTTTTTTTAAAAAAAAATAAATAAATAATAAAAGTTTGCTTGGATAATTCAGAATGGACCTGGCATTATTTCTAAATGGGCATCTACAAAAACTGAGCACTCTGAGAAGATTAATAGTAACCCTGCAAACTCTCCCAGTGACTGTCTAAAGGCACAAGTTGGTTAAAGAGAGAAGTTCATTACTTCACACAGAAGTTGAATCATGTGTCAGATGAAATAGAACATGCTTGATTTCTCCTCAGAAATTATCATTTCCACAAACTTTTCAATCATGAGATGGGTGTAAAAGTTTCACTCTGATTACTTAGACAACATGGACAGAACACACCTGCATGAAAAAGTCCCACCTATTTTAGATAATACAGTCCCCAAAGCAACTGTCTGGGTCTTCAGGACCAACTTAATGGATTCTGCATTCTCAGTTGACTAATGAGTGAGTTCAGCTAAATCCTTACTTTTATTTTCTCAGTGACTTGAAAGGAGAAATTAAATTGATAGATCAGCATCATGTCAACCAACATTAAACCTTGTTCCTTCTGGGCCTCCCCGGTGGCGCAGCGGTTGAGCGCTGGGTTGCGAAGCTGCCCGCGGCCTCTGCGACGCCGGTTCGATCCCCGGCTGCTCCCTGGCCACCAGAGGAGGGTCCCACATGGCGTGCAGACCTCTCCTGCCGCCCGCTGCTCCCCTCAGCAGTGTACTTCGGTCCTTCTGCCTGCTCTGCTCCCCGCTCTGGCTCTGGTGAATTCTCTCACCCTCCCGCTCTTCTGACTGTACCCAGTGCTTGTATAAACAAAACAAACAAACCAGCAAACAAATAAATAAAGCATGCCTCTATTAAAAAAAAATAAATAAATAAACCTTGTTCCTTCTGCCCATGAGTTATGACCCAACCTCTGGGGTTCCCAGCCCCATCATGTGAATGGATGCCAAGTCTCAAGAATAAATTTAAAACTACCTTCTCCTCCCTAGTTTAGTTAAGTAGCTCCCTCTGAAGATGACTTTGCATAAACTCTCCACAATCAAACTGCTCTCTGTACCCACCTTGCTTTCCTATCTATCCCCACATTCTGGAAGAAAGAAGGGAAGAAGACAGCAGAGGAAATGTCTTCCATACAAGTCCTTCTCCACTGAGGCTCTGACTTTATTTCCATCTCTGTCCACACTAGTCCAGCTTGTCCTAAACACTGAAGGAGACGCAGAAGCCCTGGGGGTTAGCCAGAAGCTTGAAGAATGATTTACATCAACCCCAAGCCAGGAAGGGGCTACTGTGTTATGAGCAAAATAAAAGATGAAAAAAATTAGATAAAAAGACTTCAAAATTTCAGATACTTTTTACCACAACTCTCATCATACCTTCCAAAGAGTGAACAAAAAAAAAAAAAAAAAGTGTGAAAAAAATGGCTCCTTTTAGGTTCCAGTGAGATAAATCCTCTAAAATCTTTGAAATATAAACATTCTGAAATACATTCATGAGAGAGACTTTTTTCAAGTAAAAAATTTGACAGGAGAATCTAGGCTTAGTCATTTATTTTCCATTAGTGACAATTCTATCCTGAGAAAATACTATAAACAATTCATGGGCACCTAAATTTTAATTCTACTGAGGCACAACAGAATCTGTTATTCTTTCCTAGGTTTTTCTTATATGTTTAGTTACTATTAAGAGCAGGAGATAGGACGAGACTGAGTAGCAGGAGTCACCACTGCAAAATTCCCACCACTGTTGCCCCCACGCCCTGGCACCTCCCAGGCTGCGAGATACATCGCGTGCTCTATGGTCACTGAATAAAATGAAAGTGCAAATAGATGCCAACGGCATGAAAAACCCAAAGTAGAAAAACAACACTATGAAGTCCATGCTTTGTGTTACCCACACAATATCTGGCATCTCTGTTTTTCCCCATGTCACAAAGCCATGGACATAAATGTATTTGTAGATGTGACACACACAGAGAAGGCCCAGCCCTGTGCCCACCGCCACGGCCAGTGTCTGGGGCCTCATCTCCAGCCCGCAGGCAGTTAATGTGCTGAGTTAGCAACGGCTCTGACCTGCTGTTCTTGTCTTTCTCCATTAATCCCACAGCGTTTTAATGTTTTAATTCAACACATAATTTTACCGTATCAGTCAGCCAAACCTGCTCAACTTTTACTTGCCATGATAGCTTTTAACCTCTTATTCATTACCATAATTCTATGTTTTATATTACAGACTGGTCAGCTTTTAACTTAAATGCAAGGGGGTGAAAAGAGAGCCATAGTTTTAAAAGCTGTAAATCTCAGACCCTGAGGAAGAGGGTGAACAGGAAGAAAACAGTGAATGTGTCAAGCCTGGCTGTAAAAGCAGATCAACGGCATGGGGTGCAATTTGTCGAGAGAAATAACCCCAACGCTGACTGGCCTCTGCATCACAGTCACTCATAAAACCTGGAGAACGTCAGCCATTTGCACAGGCACCGTTGACTCTGAGGCAACTTGGTCAAAATGGGCTTTATGTTTCTCATTCTTAGCTTCTCCAAATGAAATTAAGTCTAGAACATTCTATACTGAGTTACCTCTAGAATCACCTTGAAAAGTAAAACATAGCTCAAGGAAATGATATGGTTCTTTTGAAACAGCACAGGTTGGCCATGGCATGATCTGTACTCACACTCTGGCCATTTTGTTTAAAAGTTGAAGCAGGTTAAACTTAGCTTGATTTCTTACTCCTCCTAAAGTTCCTCCTTTAAAGCCTGCACCATGGCTGGGCTCTCAGATCAGATGCTTTTTTCTTGCCCATGAGCAAACACTGGAGTTGGAAAGCTTCGTGGGTGTAGGATCTGCTCTAACACCTTCACCTCTGCAGCCCTGGCCTTCTCAGGTGTGACTGTATCTCCGTGGGATCCTCCAGGTGGACTAGGGGTTTCAGAAAGTCCCAAAGGTCTCAGGGGAGCCTGGAGGGGTGACTGCCAGGCAGGCCAGGTTTCCACATCATTCCATTAGCCACCCACCAAGGCTGATGGACAAGGCTCTCCTCACATGGGGCCCACACCACCAGCTTCCCAGTCCAGCTACAAAACCCACAACCGTTCAGGCTAATCTATAGAGTCAGCCAGCCCTTCAGTCACGTGATGTCCTTCCCAATACATTCTTCAAGATTGCACTCCTGTTTCTAAGAAAAAATGCCCCCAAAAAGTCCAAACTTTTGTGAAAAGAACAGAAATATGTGTTTATCAATATCATTCATTCTCTTAAATGGCGTAATTTTAGTTACGTGTGTGATGGGTCTATAGTTGCCAAGCAGAAGAATCTCAAAATTAATAATATAATAAAATTTACATTGACTGCTCAGAGGCCTAAGTAGCAAATGGGCCTTGTTGCCAACAGTCCTGAGGATGTTGTGTGGGGGCCACTGACCCTTCTAGGCACACAGGACTGCACACCAAAAGCACGTCCACTGTCCCAGATCACACGGTTCGTGAGCCCGGCATGTCCAGCTGAAAGCCTGGTGTCCTTCCTTCAGGAGGAGGGAACTATCTATGAGGGGGGAGCTTCCTGGTGAGAATTTCCCAAGAGGCCACAGGGAGCTTTAAATGACCAGCATCAGGTGACACCGAGAAACAAACATGGGACAGAGACAGGCCTTAGCTACAGTCACAATTCATTCACGCTGCTGAAGGGTGTCCGCATGTGAAAAGGTAGTTCCCGGGCCTCCCTGGTGGCGCAAGGGGTTAAGCACAGCACTGTGAAGCCATCCACAGCCTCTGAAGCACAAGTTCGATCCCCAGCCAGGGAGCTACCCACATGGTGCAGCAGACCCCTCTTGTCTCGCCTGCTGCTCCCCTCAGCAATGTGTTTCAGTCAATCCACCTGTCCTGTTCCCCACTCTGTCTCTGGTGAATCCTCTGACCCCTGTACCTCTGGCCTGTACCCCAGCTCTTATATGCATAAATAAATAAATCTTTAAAAAAAAAAAAAAAAGGTAATTCCCAAAAGCTGGGAGAGAAAATAACTGAGCCTTAGAATTGTAACAACAAGGAAAAGGAAATGGGAAAAAGTGAAAATTATAAAATAAGAAGGAAAAGGAAAGGAACAGGTCAGCTGCATGCAGTGGCCAAGGCCATCAACCCTCCTGTGAGGCAGAGAAGCCCCCAGGACCTGCCTGGCCATCTCTTGCTGGCCTCCATTCTCCCTCCAGGTATTTTAGAGCAGGGCCACCCCACCTGGAAGCGCCCTCCTGGGGTGGGGGGGCTGTGCAGCCAGCTCCCTACAGATGCCTGTTATTTTTGTACCTCAGGAGAGGAAATAGGAAAAGGATACCCTCCCCAAATCCTTCAAATGCAAGAAGAGGAAGGACAGATGACCGCTAGGGCAGGTGCACTTCTAAGTTACAAACAGGAAAGCGCTAACATAATAAATGAATGCCCAGTGACATCTCATGGACTAAAAGGGGCATCTTTAATTATTTTTTGTGAGGCCACTGCACACTCATTTGGAAAAGCATTTCCTATTAGGTGAAGGAAGCGTGATAGCACAGTGACATGTGAAAGGCACTATTCTTTGCACCTCCTAGAATAATAGCCAGTCAGGTCATCCATCACTGAAGGCCCGAACTCCCACCCCACAGACACCACTGGGGACAAGGAGTTCTCTGCTCTTACGTCAATGCCCCTTGCCATCTGACCGGCTCAGGGCCTCTGGTTCCCCCACCACGGATGCTGTCAGGGCACCAGTGTGACAAGTGTCAGCACTACTGAGCCGTGTCTGAAGTCCCCCTACTTCCCTGTGTCAGTGGAGGTAGGAGGATGGATGGAGGCCAGCGAGATGGCCAGGCAGAGTCTGGGGAGCACTTGCCGCAGAAGGACTCCCCGCACCAGCTGAGGATTGTGGGCTCCATGGCCACTCTGATGCACACGCACCACATGAGAGATGCCAAGGCCACCAGAGCTCTGCCTGCCGGGCCAGTGGAGCTCTAGTCAGCAGGGACTCAGCAGCCTGCTCTGGGCAGCCGGGGGCACCGCGATGTGGCTGCACCTGGTGTGCGTGATTCCCGCACAATCACTGGGGACAGTCACTGACATCAGGAGGGTGACAGCCAGGTCTGCCTAACACCTTGCTGTGTGCCAGCCAGCCAGGTGCCACTGCTCAGACACTGGAGGTTCCACAAGGATCTGCCCTCCATCATGTCTGCATAAGCAGAAAGGTGGGAGGTATTTTACAGACAGAAAGCAGGGCTGGTGTCCAGCTGCTGGGCCTCTCCCATTCCTGCCTCTAAACTCCTGGTGGGTGGGAAAACCCTTCACCTCCCTGGAGCTCATTCCCTTGTCTGTAAATCAAAGGGGCGCCATGAGTGATTTCCCATCTTGACTGTTCAGCAATAAAACCCGGTGGCTCCAAGGGGCAGGCCACGGAGAGCGTGGCCGGGGAGAGGTGTTAGGATGACCCCTCCAGCCCCAAGAGACAACCCAAACACTTATCTCTCAGCATCCAAGGTTCCAGAAAACTTGGCTTGAAAAAGATGATGACATTGATTGCCAACACTTTCGTCTAAATGTAAGATGCGTATACAGACTCCATCCATGTGGGATGGCGAGAAGGTGAAAAAAAAAAAATTTGGTCTTTGAAATCACAGAAGCCTGGGGCTGGCACTGTCTGCCTGAAGTACACGGGGCCTCTTATATGCCATGTCCTCATCGGTAGGGGAGAATAAGGCCACTGACTTGCTATTTGAAAGGACAAAGATGGCGTCTACTTCCAGGACATCTCCCCATGCTGCAGTGGACCAGCACGGGCAGCACAACCTCACGGAAGTGGATCCTTGCTGCAGCCCAGCAGGGGAGCCACAATCCTCTGGAATTCTTTCCCAGGCAGGGGCGAGTCCTCAATTAAGTTGGGAGGGTTCAAAGTAAAGAAATAAGAAAGCAGATCTGGCCTCAATCGATTTCATTATGGCTTGCCTCAAAGTGTATTGAGCACACTGAAAAGCTTCCATCAGCTGGGATACCAAGCTCCATTAAATTATATGATATTTATGTAATTCTATGATTATGCAGTAATCATATAATTACAGGATAATTAGAGAATTTTACTAAATTATATGATATTTCACTGCAAGGGAAACCAACATTATAGCAGCCACTGGAGATTGATAGAAACATGTCCCAAATAGCCTGAGATCGTGCCTCACCTTTCTTCAGAGAAATCCCAGTACGTAGCTACATCCTTACATTTTTATCAATATCAAATGATATTTACCAATTACAGGCAAAAGTCTATCCCAGTTAGGGGCCACCTTAGACATTCCTGCTGCCCAGCCCCATGCAGACATAAGCCCCGCACCCCTCCCAATCCGTAAGAAGCAGAGCTGACTCACGTGCCCAGGCGCTCCTCATGCTTTTTGCTGTCCTTTCCCCACACTTCAATGTCCAAAATGCCCATCCTGTCAGAGAAGTAGTGAAAGTCAAACTCTTCCCGCCACTGCGGATTTGCACTCTTAACCAGTGTCTAGAAAACATGCAGTTATAATATTTATTTTCTTAAAATGCCATTCATCGCCATAGCAGCTACACATTCATTTCATTTCTACACTGCAGGAGGTCGTGAGGATACAGCTCTTATCAAGTTACACTTCCCTTTTGGAACGAAAAGGTTTCAGGAACTGGCAACACCTCACTGCTCTTCTAGCTGATCCCCAAGTCAATCTGTCAGCCACCAAGTTAAAAAGACTACCACCACCCCACAAGGGACCAGAAATCATATATATTGGCCATATCACAACAGATATTTGACAATTGTCCTCTCTTATGTAAGATAACTGCTGAATCAAAGCAAGCTAACATTTTTATTGTCACCTCCATTCAGTGGTGGCTTAACTAAATGAATGGATAGTATGGGATCTTAATTAACATGTGTCAGATGCACGACATGAGAAACTGTCACTTGTCCATTGCCACCCAGTTTTAAATTCGAGTTTACAGCATCTGGGCACTAGAGAGGAAGTTTCCCTGTAGGCAAACTTAAACGTTAACGAGCATGGCTTGCAAGTTCCACACGTGTTTCTGTATCTCCAAGAGCAATTTCAAACTCCTCATGTGTCCACATGGGTCCACTGCTGGGATTTTCATGTTTGTATCATGTGCATAGTCAATTTGTGAACAAAAAGTGAGCAAAAGTGCCAGCCACCCCGTCTCATGTTGTAAGGGCACAACATCAACTATTAAATCCTTGTGCCAACTCTCTGCACGCGAGATAAATAGGGACACACAGACCTGGGCTTGCAGCCCGTGCCTTGTAACATCACTTGACTCAACTCATTTCACTTTGGGCTTCATCTGTCAGATCACAGAATTTAGAAACCAAGGAGGAGAAAAAAAAAATCCCTATTAGATCACAAATTAAATGCAATATTCCCCAAGGGGAGTGTAGCAGATATTCGATTAATTCTACATTTCTCCTTAGTCCAAAGGGCTAAGTGTGCTTAGCAATGAATAATTTTTCTATAAATCCTTAGCCTGACCCCGGCTGGCTAAAGGAATCTTGGTGGGGAGATGTGGTTACCCTGGATACGAACACCAAGATACAGCCTGCAACTCCCTGGTTAAACTAATTATCTGCGTATTTCTGCCGTAACTTGCCCTCCATTTTTTGAATTTCTTATAAATGATTCTCTGACATGAGCTCCAATTCTCCACTCCAGGTGCTGGAGTAAATGACATTTCATATTTGATTTTGCACTGAAAATCGTGCAGCGGTGACAACTTCTTGCCTCCTTAAAATTGTTTTCAGCTTGTCTGCAATTCTTAGGTCCTCTGCACGGAGAAGCCTGAATTGCAATATTCTCGGGTCTACTTTCAAAACCTTCCACTGCCTTTTTTTATTCTATGTGGCTTTTGGCAAGTGGCTGAACATTCAAGTTCCTGTTCCCTCAATCCATAAAACATCAGAAATAGTCCTGTCTGACAATTATGTAAAACTAATTAATTACCATGGTTTGGAGACTCTGGTTTTTGAAATAAAAACCACACCAAATTACTAAGATTAAAAATTAAGTGGAATTTGGATCAGGAGGATACGATGATTGATTTCTAAAAACAGCTAAAAATGCCATTACTGTTGTTCAAAGCAAATCACTTTTAATGCATCAGAGACTTTATTTTTGTAAGAAGTCACATCAAAAATCGGCAGCACTGGGAGACTATTTTTTGGTGTTAATACTACTAAGTAAGAGAAAGCATTGAGTATGTAATTTTAAAATTACATTTTTAGGTATCTCAATTATTTTAATGCAGATACACTATTTTTGTAGGATTTTGAAAACATTTAATTATTTCCCTGCATTCTAAGAAACATACTTGCTTATTTTCAAAATGAAAATAAATCTAGTCTTTAATCTGTTATTTAGTGAGCTTTCTCTAGCTCTCATCAGTATATTAAAATAATTTATATGAAGCAATCAAATCTCCATATTAATGGACCGCACCTATACAATTATTTTGGTTTCTGGGATTCTCCTAATACAATTAAGAGGCTTCAAAATAAAGTTTATGTTTATGAAATTGAGATTGGGAAAAATGCTTTTTCAATTCTTTTATTCTTAAAGAAAGTATTCTCCTTAAGGAATTGACAGAACTTACCTTACTTTTATACCTCTGATCTCCCAGTTTTAACTGGACAAAAATCTCTGTCATGCTTCCTCCTGAGACATTCTTTCCTTCCAACAAAGTTATGCTTATAATCCCGTTCCAGAGCTGGTTCTTCCTCAAGGACTCGGAGAGCCGCAGGTTACGTATCAAAGAGGACTAAAGCAAAAAAATAAGGACGACGTATAAACTGGCTGATCATTCTTTAGTGAGACTTTGGTGATTAGAGGAATTCCAGCTTTCCCTATTTGATTAAAAATAGCACTCCCTGCCTGGTGAGAGGGGCTTACTTCACTGGTTTTGCAAACCTGCCATTCCAGTTACATTTCCTTCCCCGATACTGGACTGGAAACACACTATAGCAGGGAATGACTGTGAGTAACACTTGCATTTGGCCCAGGTCTGTTCTCCCACCCAGATGCTGTCTTTGGTAAGAATCCTTCACACCGCCTTTGGCTCTTTTAATAGTAGGAAGGGAAGAAAGGCATTCTGGGATACAGATAGAAGAACAAGGCAAAGCTTTGCAGGGAAACAAAATACCTCTGGGCATTTAGCAGAAACAGTTTTGAATTTATCCTTCACACTTGAATCTGTCCCTACTCCCCTTTATTCCTTGGGCTACTACTAAAAAGCTCAACAACCACAGAGATATTCACAACTCCAGACACAGCCTGTAATCAGCTAGCCAGCTAAATGAGCTTTGTAGATCTGGAGGGAAAGGAAGGATAAATAAAGTACATAGCACCCAGTTGGGGCTCAGTAACTGTTAACTTTTTTTTTTCCCTGTTCTAAATGATGCTACTCATGAACACACACACAGAGAGAGAGAGAGAGAGAGAATACAGAAAAAGGCAAACAATCCCTATCATTAAATTATAAAGGAGAATAGGCACATTTTATTTATTTTTAATTTTCATTATGTAAATTTTCAAACATACACAAAGGTAGAGATAATAGTATAACGAATGCCTGCAGGCTTATTCACCACATTCAGCCTTGCACCAATTTGATTTCATCTCTCCCTTCACTATATTTTTCTGGCTGAAATATTTGAGAGCAAAATCCGTATTTGTTTTTACATAACCACCATGCCATGATCACAGTCAACAAAAGTAAGTATGATTCCCTTAATATCATTAAATACCCAACACATATTCACATTTCCCTGATGGTCTCCAGCCATGCCTTTTTATGGTTAGTTTGTTTGAGTGAGAATCCCCATATGAGCCACACACTGCATTAAGTTAGTAGAGTTCATTTACATTCTCCGTTCAATAAGTGAAATGGCACAAGCATGGACTGCTTTATTTGAAGGAGAAATAAATGGACTGGAGAATGCAAATGGCGTTAAGTATCATAGTAAAGCAATGAATTTCTAACCCCATATATTCGTTCCTGTCATCCACTCGCTATATCTCTGAGATCACGCAGACACCAATTTGCTCGGACACCAGTTAGCCACAATTTATACAACAAATGGTCTGTCAGTCATATTAATTGTATACCGGCTTACCTCACCCAACACACATCACTTCACCACCTTAACAAATGAAGAACAATCCCAAGCCAGGCACCTGGTCAATCATTTGATGATAATCTTAAACAAAATACACTTAAGGAAACCTATATTCCAAATTTCATATCCATGTTACTTTTACCTTAAAATGCTCACACACACGCATATATACACACTCAAACATACATATGAGCGTGCTGAGACACCGCAGGGAGGGCAGAAGACAAAAACAAGTTCTATTTATTTTTAAGTGACTAATTAATTTGTATATTGAGCTGTGAAACTATACTCCTGAAATGCATCATACTGTAAAACAAAAGTAAATGACCAACAAGTGATTTAAGGAAAAAGAAAGAATTCATTTCAAAGCAAAAAATTCTCTCCTTTGGAGAATGTGAACAATTCTTCACTTTCGTTGGTCGATAGGCTGTGAATAAAATATAGTCAATAATGAAAGTTTATGAAACAGTTACAGTTAAGCGATTTTATGCTTGTGAAAAACACATCCACAGCATCACAATCTACAGACAGACAGACAGACACATGTGTGTGCTTATCTATTGGCAGATGTGTACACAGAGGTGGATATACTTAATGCATTTTATAGTTTAATAAGTACATGGGCTGAACACTTCTATCTTTGAAGCAAAAATGAGATTTTGATTCATATATCCTGCTGGCATTTCCTTTTTTTATATATTTCTTCTAAAAGTTTGACTTGCCAACCAACGAGCTAAAGCATGACCTGTCCCATGGCCATGCTTCAAAGTTCCGACAGATCTATTCCTCCCTAAACACTGCAACTATTTCAAAATCCTTTTTATAAAGAAGGGAGTAATGTCCACAAGAGATCAAAGGGCATTCTACAGTCTGGCAATTGCCTAAGAAAAATGGCCACGCTTCCATGAAATATGCCCTAAAATAATTTTGTGGCTTGGTATGTCCTAATTTCAAATTGGATGTTTATCTTGGAAAGGCTTCTATCTAACTTGTCCATAAAACAGCCCCACTTAGCTGTATGAGCTCTGTGAAAATGGAATCCAAAGCTGGTTATTAAGGGGAACTGGAGATAGATTCCATATGGCAGAACAGCATGGAGGGCAAGACTCAAGCCTCCATCAGGCGCGGCTTGGCTGGAGCTCCTGATCTATCCGTGGACACTCGTTGCATTACACCAGAACATCTGGATTATTGCTTGTAATGTCCCTGGGAAATATCCACTTTCCATCAAAGCCTTTATCTATCTCAGTCGGACTTTGAACATTTAGTATTTAACACAGTCACGTTTGATGTGACAGACTTGCTCTTTGCCTTCCAACAATTTTTTTCCCCCTGACTAAAGGCAGGGTAGGAAGAGAAAGGTATTTATTGCAGTGTTCACAGATAGAAAAGAACACAAGACCTTTATTCTATTTATTTCTCCCTCACTATTTCTGCAAAACTCACCATTGGGATGTTCGGAAAAGGTGGCCTCCAGGAGAGAATAATCTGGGGGGTAGGGGTGCCTGGGTTTGCAGGAAGTGGCTTAATTACTTTAACATTTCTCTTCCACGGCGAGACTGGCATGGGACTGAGCGTGGAGTCTGCTTGGGGGACAGTGTCAGGGCGTCCTGGCTGTGGCCGGATGCAGAGCTGAGCTCTTGCTTGTGCTCCCACACTCCATACAATAAATCGACTCCTCTGCACTCACTCTGTTAACTCAATAGCTCAGGTTTTCATGTGTGTGCCCTCGCCTATAAGTGAAATCTGTCATCTTAATGCAGGTTGGAATGTGAAAGCAGAGAAGGAAATGACCCATCAAAGGAGGAGCCCACCCCACCTGAGCTGAAACAAACACCAGGAGATAAAGCAAAGTTTCTGGGTCCTGACCCTAATTTCTCAGCAGACGTAATGGATAAAATATAGTACATGAGGGTTTTGTTATTTTTCTCTTTCCTCCCAAAGGATCGAAACCTTTTACTATTTCTCTGTTGTTTCATTCATAGGCTCTACCTTCCCGAACCTTCCCCCCAACCCCCAGTTACCACCCATTCTTCTAAACAGACAGTGGGCTTTGGAAGCATCCATGCTCAAATTTAATAGTGAAAACAAGGTGGGATGAGTAACTCAGAAACAGATTGACTTTCACAAAGTTGAAAGTTTCAGAAACAATTTACTTCCAGCTCATGGTAATCCCACAGAAGCAAGCAAGGAGCCAGTTGTGAAGAAACTGCAGGGTTTCTGATCACTTCTGGGACACTCAAAATGGACAGCAGTTGGGGACAGTCTGAGGACCTGGGCCAGGTGGCAGGCTCGGGAGGTGGTGATGGGGACTCAGCACTTTGTTCTCTTGGTGTCTTAGAAAGGAAAACCCAGGGATGACAGACACGCCAGCTCGGTGCCTCCTATCTGTCCCGGGTCAGGAAAAGGGGCAGAGAGAGAGGTGTGGGGTAAAGAAAAATCCTGAACAGAGAAGAGGTTGTCCTGGAAATCTGTCATCTTATTGCAGGTCACCAAAAGTTACATTAACTTTAGCTACGCCACACTCCAGAACAGCCTATGCTGACAACGCTGTGGAGCAGTTCTTCAAAGTCTGCCCTGGGAAGTAACGAAACACAAAAAATAAAAAGGTGAAAAGTAAAAAGAAGGAACAAGGAGAAAAAGCCTGGGACAGGGCACACCTACTGGATGCAAACTATTCTGTGAGTGATCTAGCCACGTCTCCACTGTGGTCAGCTGCAGAGCTGAACTCTGGAATATAAAGAGATAACCTTTTCATGTCTCCAGGGCGTCCTACTTGAGGCTCATGAATCATTTCTCCTAAGTCATTGTGGGAAAGTAGATACTCAAGGTCAACAAATGCATGAGAAAAAGTTAACTTTGCAAGCAAAATGAGGAGTAAAGCAAGATTCCGGCTATGTGGGCCACTGCTTTGAAAAGCTGAGGGAGAACACTGAGTCTGTGAAAGGTCTCCCTGAAATATTCCTTTCAAGCCTCTTCAACACATGAGAAGACTGCTCATCGTCAACGGCCCCTACAGCACGTCAATGAGAAGATCTACACATCCACAGAACAGGCTTCCAGAAGAGATGCCACTTGACGGCTCCTTTATATCATCTGAAGAGGGCCCTTTAGGCATAAATTCTCCTCGAGCTACACAAAAATCTTTGCATAAAGATATAAAGAAAACCTCTTAAATTTTCCATATGGACTTGGACAAGGAAAATGAGATTTATACTTGCAGATGAAAACTGTATCTCACTCCCAGGGATGTGAATGATCTGCGTACAAAGGCCTTGGCTAGAAAAGCTTTTTTTTAATTAAAGTTAATATTTTTATATTATGAGGGAATATCATAATTTTAAGAGCTTACTTCTTGCACTGAAAATCAAAATTAGATAAGAGAAGATGAAAACAATTGATAGAGTTTATAAATACTCAATAACTCTCAGTGTTCAGGACCAAGAAAATACTTCAAATGCATTAAGGAATAAGGGGGTGAGGGTGGAAATAAAGGGATGTGATCCAGCAAGATTTTTTTTTTGCCCTGACCTCTAGTAGACTCAAAGTTAAATACTGTGCTCATCTGCAATAATAGCCATTGTTTATCTAGTATTTCAATATTTAGTATTTTAGTAATATTCAGTATTGCTTGACTCCCCTGTATCATCCTGCCAACCTTCATTTCTGTGTCTTCTTTTTTCCATGTCTCTCCTTGAATTACAGTACTTCAGGGGTGCCCTATTCAGGGCTGGGTCAGAATGAAGCCAGTGAAAGATGGGCCTCCCCAAGATGTCCAGAACAGGTTCCCAAGACCTCACACATTGGCATATGGATTATTTCAAACTGAGATCAGTTGAGGCCCTGCAGGCTCATGGGAAACTTTTACCACTCCCTTAACCATCTAGAAGAATGAAAATAGTGGGGTTATCCAGAGTTAGGATTTTTATAAGAAATAAGCTTTCCACCATGCAGGGCAGATATCTGATTTTATGAGTTCCTTTCTCCCCATCATGTGAGTCTCCCACTCTCCCCTTGAAGGCCCCATACCCCACCCCATCTCTCAGCTCAGGAGATATTCCTGCATTTTCTTCATTGACCTTGGAAACCATGTCTATATAGATTTCCCGTGTACATATGTCCTTGAATTTTCTCTTTTCTACCACAAATCTGTTCTATGTTAATTTGATTGCTCTACCAACCCAGAAGGAACCCAGAGGGGTAGAGGAAATTTGCTCTCTTTCCCTACACCTGTGAGACAGTGGGGTGAACAGTTTAAGGAGGTGCTCACTCACTTCTGCAAGGGAAGGGCTGGTACCTGAGCCCAAGTGCCTTCTGTTTTACATGGTCATCAACATTTCATCCTTAATCCCATCCCTATGCACCGATGGGTGGAAGATAGATAAGTAGATAGGCAGATAGCTAGACAGATAGAGCAAAGACACAGTGGTTCTCCCTTCAAATTCTTCTGACTGTCTTCCTTCAATTTAAGTTCTCTCACATTAAACTTGCTTTGTGGCAAGATACTGCCAGGATCTTAATATGTTAAAACCAGGTCACCAAAGTCCAAGTCCTTAGCATAACAATAATGCCTCTAAAACAGCTGTCTGCAAAGTGCTTGCACCTGTAGTTAAAAAAAAAAAAAAGACAGGGACACTGTAACCTAAATTTATGCAGAACCCTTACCATGTGGATCACTACCCTTGCAAAATCAAGACACTAAAAAAGAGCATCAAAAAGGCAAGGTTTTAGCCACCACAATTTGCATCAGAATCCAATAGTAAAAGAAAATCCTTCCAGGTATTGAAAGCAGAGGGAATATAATGCAGACAGTAGTTCCTCAGGCAAGGCCATGGCTGGGCCTGAGAGAAGCCCGGGCAGCAACAGTGGGACCTGTGAACACGCTCAGGCTGGAGCAGGGGACAGCAGTCCCTGAGAAGGTGCAGAGAGTAGGTGTGTAGGTTCAGGGGCCCAAGATTCCATCTCAATCACTCAACTCTGCCTCTGTCAGCCAGAGACAGGATGCACACATGTGGGCAAGACTGTGACAATAAAACTTCACTGGCAAAAACAGAGGGCTGAATTTTGTCCTCAGGTTCAAGCTTAACAGCCCTTGGGCTAGAAAGACCGAAGTATAGAAGCTGAGATCAGGGGCAACAGGTGGAAGCTGAAACCAAAGCAGGCCCAGCTATCTCAGGCGAAGCAAAATGCAGCCCATGTTGGTGGGAAATGGAGAAACGCAGGGAAAAGGCAGCAAATACCCTGGCTTCTCCCTTCTCCTACTCTCTATCCTGCCAACTCTACTCATTGGGTAAAGCCAGCGGCCAAGGGTAACTGCAGAGGCCAGTCTCCCAGGTAACAGAGGGGAACAGAGATGAAAAAACATGAGGTCAAACAGGCCCCAAATTGGCACCATGGTCAAGTCATCTGCAGGAAATAAAGGCCCCTGGGATAGGACACGTCTCCACCCTGGGAGAGCTGCCATAAAAATGCATTAAAATTTTGGTCAGAAGAAGGGCTAGGTAAGAATAGATACTTAGTGCAACTTCATCTAAAATAAGGGAAATCCAGAACTAAAGGGACGCTCTGGTCACCCACAGCACCTACGCAAGCCAAGATGGCCGCAGGGGTGCATGTGTGCACATGTGTGTGCCTGGATGTGTGCACATGTGTTTGCACATGTGTGCCTATGTGTGTGTGTGCAAGTGTGTCTGTATATGTGTGCATGCACATGTGTGTGTGCAGATTCTAAAAATAAGCAAAGATTCATCAATTCCATTCTTTATCTTTGCATTTTTCTCCCCATTAGACTATTTAGTGCCAGAGGAGCTCACTGCTGTGAATTTTCTCTCTTGGCAAGTGTTACACTAATTCTAAAAAGGAGTAAGGTGTGAAAGCAGATCTTTCACATGCAGTCCCTACCCAAAAAGGAGTAGGCAACTGAGTCAGGCCCTATCAAACCTATTGTCCATTTTCATTTTAAAATGCTCATCAAAAGGTAAATAAAAGGCTTTTGGGTGAAGCCCACACTTATTTCTAAAGCCAATGTCCTTGTATTTACCATATTAAAATCAGTGGGTAAGGAAGCACTTTAAAAGAGAATGTAAAAACAATGTAATTTTTGGCCCCCTGGGATGGTGCAAAATTATAAACTCATGAGTTTAAGAAGTAATTATCTAAACAAAATTAAGTTATTATAAGAATAAGATTGAGATGAAAAGGTCAATGACATTTTATAGGTAATACATTAGTAAGAACTACTAATAGTTTAGATACTTGTAGGAAGTCCTTCCTTTTCTGTCAAACATCTGTTATCTAATTTTGACATGTAGTAGAGAGAAATCCTGAAAATGCAGCTTATAGTAAAGTAAAAATCAAAACCAACAAGCAACTATAAACCAGAGACATACTATGGGTGGGGGCGGAGGGAGTAGGATCAAAACAAGGGGGGTGGGGATTGTATGGGGACTATCACCAAGATGAAAATGCATACATTGTGCAAAAATGAAAAATGATGTAAAAAATATATAAAATAATTAAAAAAAATTTTTAAATAACACAAAAAAAGAAACACCCAGGTAGGTCGACCAGGGATCTCACCGCATCTGTAGATATTGCACATGATTCATTTTCCCAAGCCACATTAGAAGCTTTTCTGTTCCAAACTACAAACTCTCAGTGGCATAAAGGCATCCTCACCAGTGAAATTCTCCCCCAAGATATAAATTTCAGCCCTCAAATAAAGTCACGAAGAGCCTTCAGCGAGCTCTCCTCATTGAAGGTTTGATTAAACATAAATACAAAGTTTAGGCATTTGTGAAGCATCTGAGTTCAGCACAATGAAGTTAAAATTCTAGAAACTTCCACAATAGGGAAAAAAGAAGACAACAGCTTCATGGAACCCGCAGCCCTGCGCACACACATAAACACCGCTCCAAGGAGCCGCTCCTTTCTTATTGTGGATGTCTTTATCCAGGCCGGCAACATTCTTCGTCTCCCTCTCTGTCCCGTGGACATCGCTCCATAACCTCTCCTGGCCTCCCCAGGCACCTATATTCCCCAAGCTCACAATTTTTCTTTCTAGCCTTTATGTTCTTCCACAAACTACCAGTGGTCTTCCACAGGCCGGGGCTCCCTAACTAAAGATGGTTATTGATGTACAGTACCAGTGTTTTAGTGCAGCAGCAGAATCAATAAAGGAGAAAATACTGCTTTGTCAGGTTTCACCAAGGCATGCTGGGAAACTTTACTGCTTCAGATGGTTACAGAAACCCTTCCGTGGGAGAGCAAGAGCTGGCTCCCTTCTGCGGTAAGAAATGATGTTCTTCTACCCTCTAGTGACTATAAAGGAATAAGACAAAAGTTGAAGGGATTTCTGAGACAGCTTCTCAGTATTATTTATGGTCTCTTAATTTTATTTCTCCAAAGAAGCCGAGTCTTAGAAACCTAGTGAACTAGGAGGAGAACAAAGCACCTGGTCACAGCTATTGTTGAAGTGTTCAAAATGCACTTGCAAGAGGATATACATTCTAGTAAGAGTCAGAACTAGGGCTTTGGATCTCAAAAACAAGGTTTGCAAAGTGCACCTTCTTCCTAAATGACTTTGGAGAGTCAGGTTATAAGACTGTCTGTCTGTCTGTCTGTCTGACTCTATCTAGCTCTATCTCCCTCTTGCTCAGTCTCTCTCTCTCTCTCTCTCTCTCTCTCTCTCTCTCTCTCACACACACACACACACACACACACACAGTCTTACAAACACACACTATTTTTGTTTCCATCACCTTATTTATTTTTACCGTAATCTTGACATTAGTCACTTATGTTGCAACTTGCTAATTTAATAACTGATAAATTCAGAACACATTCCTATCTCGGGATACCTATACTTTTTACAAATTAGACAGCAGTGTGCAATTGCTCAAAAAGAGACAAACAATGTGAAAAATTACCAGGACATCATGAAACAATCTTGAAAGAAACTTAAGGTAATAAATGGCTGTTCAGAAGATATAAAAAAGGTTTGTGAAATTTATGACATATTCATCTCAATTAATCTTTTCATTGCCCCTATCACACGAAAGCTGGGTTCCTTGTAATGGTAAATAATTTCCTAAAGGATTAAAGCTAACTGCACTACTCCGAATAATCCAAGCTTAATGAAGTGTAACAGTCTGACATGGTCGGTACATATGAAATGTCACTACTAAGACAAGGGGAAGTTCAAACATCTGGCTAGACCCTTATTAAATGAAATTTCAAAGGGGGTGTTGTTTCTGGCATAGCAGTAACAGCAGTGAGAGGGAGAGAATGCTATTATATGTAAATGTTGGATAATACCCATCATATATATGTTTGTGTTTGCTACAAAGATGATTTTTTACTAAATGATACAAAGGGGGAAAAAACAAGTATATTTACCTTGCTGGCACTCAGTCGCTTTCGATTTGACCACCGCTAAGGATTGTATCCATGGAAAGATGAAAAATAGAAAAATGGAATAAAGAGAAAGAAAATCATTAATGACATTGTCGTATTATTATATGAGTGAGAAGGTGCGGGCTACATTTCAACAATCAACACCCAACTTCTAAAGTTACTGAGAAAACACCCATGTGAGCAAGAAAATAGAGAGAGAAAAATTTCTGGGTTGTCTGAAATCATTTTCTCAGAATATTCAACAGTGAAAAGACAAGGACATAGGAACCCACTCCTTTCTTAAGAGCACATTCATTCTTCATTGCCTCAAAAACAAGAATTTTACCTCTAAAAGCAAAGAGGAAAAGCAGCTTTCTCTTACTTACTCTCTCTTACCCAGATTATGAAAGTTTTTAAGAAGCTCACAGGAAATGTTAGTTGATGTTCAGGTCAGTCAATCTGCCTGCTCTGTTCCCCACTCTGTCTCTGGTGAATCCTCTTACCCCCCATACCTCTGGCCTGTACCCCAGCTCCTGTATGCATAAATCTCCATAGCTTTAAATGCTAGAAAAAATAATTCCATTTACCTCACTGGTGAAATCTCAATATTCAGAATAACATAGAAAAATTCTAAGTTCCTCCTGCACGATTAAGAAATATAGGCTAGAAAGCCAGGAGGAAAAAAAGAAAACATTTTCTGAACCCAGTGGAACTGTGGTTTAACTTCACCACTCTTGTCTTTGAACTCTCATTTGTCATGCTAAGGCTGCTGAATTTCAGCTACAATTAGAATTCTCTTCCAGCAAAATCTTCTCATTACCCCATCCAGGACTGCAAAGCTCTACTCTGGCTGGTTAACCAGCTAACTGGATGTTAAAACTTGGATAAATTTGGGAGATTACAACTCAATTATGAATCTAATAGAGCAGATCACATTCACTATTATACTTAAGGAAAAAATACCTTTAGGCAAATGACCTCTCCACGTTGCCAATACGTCTTCCCAATAAATTAGAAACCTGAAAACAAAGTCTTTGGGGGAAATGTGTTTACATGCCAGTGACCAGCAAATAGAAACACTGGTATACAAATGACTTGAAAATATTTCCCAGTAGAAACACTTCCCCGGGTGAAATTGTGAATCCCACATTCAGTCCAGAACATAGAACTACAGACACTACAATCCGGGCATTGCGATCCAGTCTCGTCATATTTTCCCAACAACATAGAGACAGCCACTTTCTTCCAAACCACCACCAAAATGAATCATAACCTTAACTGTCCATCAGGTTATTTGGGGCCTTTTCATATGCACTTCTTTTGATTTTTATAGTAATCATAAAAGATAAACAAAATGGATAAGGACATGATTGGATGTGCCTCTTAGTGTCAGTTTAGCAACATCCTCAGAGCCACCAGAGTGGCTGCCTCATGCCAAGCACTGAATCTATTCGTTTTAATCCTCACAGTTCTGTAAAACAGATACTCTTGTTTTCATTTCCATTTCATACATGAGGAAATTGGAGCTGAGAGAGGTTAAGTAAGTCCCTGCATTTGACCTGATCACTTAGCTTCTCAAAACCAGCAAGCTAGGCGACAAACCCAAGCGATCTGAAAGCAGAGCCCCTAATTCTAAGAGCAATCCTTTGTTGGTTGGGGAAAAAAAAAATAAAGAAACAGAGGAGGATTGAGAAGCTTCCAGCCACGACCTTGCCTGCTCTTCTGCACTCACACCTCTGGGCTCAAGCTGGGACTTAAACTGAAATGTCTCCACCAAACTGTAAGTTAACAATGTACTTTATAAAGAAATTATTCCCAGTTAAACAGTCCATTGTCTTTCCAGGCTCCAGGGTTAGTTATTCCCATTAAAAGCCCAGCGTAGAAATCTTTCAATATGAAATTCAAGTCAATAAAAACTATTTTATTTTATATATACTTTCTACAGTATCTACTATATCCAAATATGCACACTGAAAAACCACAGAAGAAAGTATTCCTTGCTCAGATACACTTCAATCCAAATGTGTGTGTGTGTGCACATATACTATGTGTGCACATATGCAGTGCACATATATTATCATCATCATTATTATTATATATACACAGAAAGACAAAAGACTGTGTGAGAGCTGGCAGGGGTATTGCAACACCCCACAAGAGATATTTAAAATAAATACACTGGACACTAGTCCTCTGCCATTCAAACAAGAGGAAAGAAAATGAGAAAGTTCCTGTGTGAGCTGATATGCTGTGTGACAAACTCTCAAAAACAGGAGAGGGTGTGTCAAAGGAAAGAGACACACCAAATAAGAGGAAAAGTGTGCCTGCTAGGTTGGACTTCGCAGTGATACTCTTTCAGATGTTTTACAAAAACAAACTTGAGCTGCACCTAATATTAATGATTCTGCAATTTGAAATACATTTGAACTATAAAGGCATGACTTTAAAACTCTTCATCTGGCATGAGAGAAAGACATTAAATATATTTTAAAAATATTTGAAGCCAGGGTGATGGCAGAATGTACTCCAACACACCACAGAAAAATTCATAAGGGAAATAAATACAAATATGTAGCTATTTACCTGGAAAAACTACCTGATTTTACCAACCCACTTAAATACCTAAAAAATGCTTTTTAAAAATACCAGCTGGCAATTGCTTAAGCATGCTGCAGCAAACAATAGTGGGATGCAGTGCACGCTATTTTAAGCTTGTACCCAGCTCCGGTCATCTATGGATTCCATCCTATCCAGTGGTGAGGCTGCTAAGACTAAGAGAAGCTAAAGAAAATCCTTCCTTTGTTATATTGGTAAGAAAAAAAAGTTTATTTTCAACATTAAGATATTTCAGCACCAAAATATCAGCTTTATTGAGGTCTCACGGTGCCACCTCTTAAAAATTAATAAGCGGAGCTTTATTTTTTTCATTTATTGTCAAGTAAATTCTCAGAATTCAAATTAAAAATAGCCACTACGTACTTGACCTTCTGGAGATCGAAATGTCTGTGTGCAGCTTTCCTGCTTCTTCAAACTATCATCTGTGCATTTACTAGTAAATCAGTCATGATGGTCATCATGAAAATAAATTAAAATTAAAAGCAAAGGTAATGTCAAAATGAAGAATATTCTCCTCAATGACCCCACTGCCTCAATTCAAGAAGTATTACCAGAGGCCTCATATCTAAACAGGATTCAGATTTTCATATCAGATTCTAAATATGCCCAATTTTAATACACTTTGGTCCTTTTTCAAATATTTCGGTTAGGATCTAAAAATGCCTTCAAATAAGTTACAGTCAAACAGGCCTAAGAAAACTGTACAAGGAAACCTTAACATTAGTAAAAGTATCTCTCATAGGACATGTTCTAAGCAAACCATAAGCACCGTGTGCATTTTAATATAGCAAAACAATGTGCACCCCTAACCAAAACAGAGTTAACCCCTTAATGTATTTTCTTTCCGAAATCCCAAAAGAAAGGACATCTCTATCCCAGATAGGGTCTTACAAGTTTTCAGAACATTGTCTGTATCCCCCAAATAATGATAGTACTGTCAGTCACCCGGTAGTGCAGTTATCAAAGGACAATAGCCATGAAGAATTTTAAAAAGAACAAAAGGGTCACACTTACGTGTCTCTTGAAATCGCCCTGTTTTACAACTAGATTCAAATTTAACACAATCACTCCCATGTCGTCTTCTAAACTATTGGGATCTTCCAATTTTAAAATATGTTCAGTTGTTCTACAAGCAAAGAGCAAGAAAGCGTTAGCACGTCCTGACAGTGCTGGAGAGTTGCGTGAAGCTGGTGGTTCATCTCCCACCGCCGAGTAAGGGTGACAGTTAAAAAAGCACCAAATTCAGTGCAAACCAACCAATGTCAGGGGAGAGAAAGGAGCATTGTCCAATTCAACAGTTGGTTAAGCGATACTTCTTCCCTTTCTCCCAAATACAGCTCAAGTACTCTTTTAATTTTAAGTGAGGTGCATTAATTAACTCAAACATGAACAAAGGAAAATATAAAATCCAACACAAATGTTTAAACATGCGAAGGAAGATTTAATGTCTGATTAATATCTTGGGAAGCTCAAAAAGAAAAAAAATCACAGAAAAATGTGAATTTTAAAGCTCTCCTTCATCTGTTCAGGACAGTTTGGTCATCTGATCTAGATGAAGACATTTAACATTGTCCTGAGTTCCCTCTAGGTTCATTGCAACAATTCAAGATAAAAAATACAATACCTGTTTAGTTCCAGATCACTGAGAATTATAAAAGCAGAGCCCATGAAGTCTGAAGTAGTGAGGTCTCGATCATATACCTACAAGCAGGGAGGGAGGCCAGTGACACATAAACATGAGTTTATCAAACATTAATAAATGCAACAGGCTGGGAAGCTGGAAATCAGTCTTCCAGATCTAAACATAATTTGCATTGTACAGCTAAAGAGGAATTTCACCAAGCTGATGGAGAGAGAACAAAAATGATTCAAACTTGCCGATTTTGCCTTCCACAGCCAAAACAACAGCAGAAAATACTTTTAAGGCAGTATTCACATGCATTAAAATATTATGTGCAATGGACCAGTCTCTGTAGTTTAAACGGTCTCTCATTAAAATTTAGTATTTTCACAGTGAGCAAATCTGCCAATTAAATAGAAATTTGCTAAATATTCTATGGCAATCCCATCCTGCACTCAACTCATGCAATTTTAACCCAGATGTTTGAGCAACTGATGCTTATAACCGGTAGCTGGGAGCTCTATTAAGTACAAAGTTATTCCTAATGAGAAAGGCTTTCGTACTTGGCATTGCTGCTGAACAGTAATAATTCTTCCACATTCAGTAAGTTTAAACACAACCAATGGAGAAATTATTTTCCCTGTGATTTTCGGTAGCTCATACTTCATTGATCTGAGTCCCCACCAAGGGAATAAGGAATCCCTGGCCTACTAAGATTTTTAACCTAGTGCTGAGGAATAATAAAAGAGTTCATTTGGGGACGCTCCCTTGTAAGAGGGCAGAGATTGCTGAGAAAGAAATGATCTTTAAATAAAAGAGCAGATTTGAAAGCCATCTGGGGTTACCTTCACTCGTAGCTTTTGATCAAGGCTTTGTATGGGTAACACGACTATCTCATCCCAAATCGGGTTCAAGTTCTTATATATGACTTTGCTTTTGTAAAGCGTCTTCCCATTCAGCTTAAATTTCACATAGGGATCGCTCGTGCCTTTAAAAGAAAAAGAGAACAAGACAGATCTTAAAAATAGACGTTCAGGTCTAGGATGTCCATTAAGTAAAGCCCCTTTCCGCACTCCCAGGAGCCAGCATTTCACCGGGCACACCCAGAACAAATGTCTCCCGGGTGGAGACAGAACACCCCAGAGCTGGGAAGGAGAGAAAAATTAAATCATTTGGGATAAATGCCTGATTCTTCTTCGCCTTTTGTGGTAGAACATAAACGGGCCGCTTGAACTTTTCTGCTTTGTTTCATTGTGGAGACGTCATCCCTACACCACCCGCAAAATTTCAAGAAGTGCTCCCCCAGCACCAGTCCAGGGTGTCAGGATCCTGGGGAGGAGCCCAGTTCTCTGCAGAATTTCAGGGAGGCCATGAAAAGGGAAAGAAACCATTTGCAAACACTGGGCCTGATGGCTGACTCAACAGAACCCTGTGCATTAGCGATACTCATAATAAATAAATCCACCTCTGGAACCACTGGCTCAAAAGCTGGGGTGACCCATGAAGGCTGGACCTGGGGGGGGGGAGGGGCGTGAAGATCAAGCCGACAGAGTGGCATTCTTCCCTGCTTGCTGCACCTGCAGCGAAGCCTTGGCTTTGTCTCATCCAGGCCAGCTGAACGTCACAACAGCCGGGCCCTCCGCTGGCCCCGGGGTGACACCCCTGACCCGCCACTCCTCCCGGGAGCTTTGAAACAGACGCCAGAAGGAATGAATAATCTGTCTCAGCCCCTCTGTCCAAAGCAAAAAGAAGGGCCTAAGACGGACCCTCCTCCATCCTCTCCAGATCAAAGGAGAAAAAAGTGCCTGCAATGATAATCCATGAACTATGTGTCCATGTGTATGTTACAGGCATGCAAGCATGCATGGAACATACGTGCTCACTGATAACTAGCACATGATGAATACAGAAGGCACATGTGAATGAGCCGTCAGCGAGAGCATCACCCAAGGCTTGCAGACAGCACAAAGGAAAAACGTCTCCACTGGGGACTCGGGATGCGTGGACTGATGGTCACACAGAACAGGGACCACAGGCACCAACACCACAGCCTGTCTGTCCAGTGACAGGTCCCAGGTGCCTCGGACCATGCCCCGCAGAGACCAGTGTATCTACAGACATGAACTTCTGATAGTCGAGTCAAGCCAACATAAGCTAAGAATATCAGATCAATCATCGAGCAGATTCTCAGTGATGAACATTTGCCAAAGCATCAATTCCCATCCTTGGTGAAGCCAACCTCTTATTTTTTTTCCAGCTTCCTTTTGTTTTGATTTAGCTGCATGACTGAAAATGAAGGCGCCACATGGCCCAAGTATTTTAAGTGGCAGTGGCATCACATGAGAGCCAGATGATGGACTGGCCTGCTTACAAGTCTCACTCATAAGCCCAGCCGGTGCCCAGGGCCACTGACTTCCAGACAAAGAACCAAAAGTACAAATTCGCACAGAGACATAATCAACGCTTCCATTTGAAGTCCAGTACTGACCTGGGCCGAAGGCCAGAAGTGCCTGCTTAAACCAGGACACCTGCAGACAACACACCCAGGCTGGATGGCAGGGGACGTCAGAGAGGGTGCGCGCTGGCAGGCAAGGGCACACGGGTGAGTGAGCCCCTGCCTACCCCCTTTGAGTATCGGGGGTACCTCTGGCAAGTCAGGCTCTAACCATCATTCTGATATAGAGATATAAAAAAGTGGGGGGGGCTATAATAAAAAGAGGCCTTTAATTAAATGAAATTACCACTCTGGGATCAGGCCTTCATGCTTGTCAGCGTGCTCTCAAAATAAACATCTCAAAACTGGGCTCGGTGGTGTCACTTTCTCACAGGCAAAGCATACTGGGTAATCCCCAGGCATCTGACAGCTACATAATGTTCAAACTGTTTCACGGGTGAATGGCGGCCTTTGCGTGAAAGAAAATATTAATGTCTGGAATTCATAGAAAAAGGGACCAGGGTTTACAAAGCCAAACACGGGAAGAGGGTGTCAAGTGAGGGCCGCGTTAATTGTTAGGGAACATCTGAGAAAGAGGGAGCACTGGCGGTTTTCTCTGAGAGTCTAAGTGCTTGGCTGTCAGGGAAGTGACATCTCAACTAGGCAGGTTCTGAAAAGGGGTCGCTGCTCAGGAATGCAGCGCCCAGATTATTCACATGATGGGATGACACCTGAATGGGTGGACTTTAACCTCTTCCTCGGGAGCTTCCCAAACAATGAGGCTCTTTGGAAGAAAGAGGTGGTTGGTAGGTGGGGAGGAGAATGAAGCCGAGGAGCCTGGAGACCAGGCCTGCGTCAGGCCGCGGCCGGTTCTGCCGGGCGGACCCCAGGCCGGCACAGCACCTCGAGTGGAGAAGCTCCAGGCAGAGCCCTTGGGCCGAGCTGCCCGCTTCATTTGAAAGCCCCCAGGGACCCACGGGTGCCAGAAGAGACAAAGCCATTCCCGGGTTCTCCAAGATTGTTGCAGCAACGACACTCCTGACGAGTGTGTGACTCCTTATTTAGGCTCGTGTTCAGTGACTCTGTGGAAGGCCAAGACCCTTTGGGGGGCCGGCCAGCCTGCTCACACCATCACTGCCAGGCACTGGAGGGCTACCAGGCACATCGCCCCCTGACTTGCTCTCTGTGCTGGCAGGCAGCAGGCACCCCGGAGACTCAAAGCAAGGCCCGAAGGTAAGAGTCACAACAGAAGTGAACGCGGGGTGACGTGAGCTCACAGGTGGAGTTACTCATTTCAGGTGGAGGACCCAGGGAAGCTAAAGCAAGGAGATCGGGGTGGATCCAGGCTGGCAGAGGACTGATGTGGAATCAGCAGGAAGATGGGCAGGGGGCGAGCTGGAGGGAGGAGGCCCTAATGGCCAGGTGAGTGAGCAGGTGTCGCCAGAACACTTCCGGGTATCTGGAAATTACAGGGAACAAACTTAACAAGAAATAAAGTTTAAGAGGCAAGTTCAACTGGGAGGATGAGGGCCCTAAAAAAAAAACAAAATAAGGATGTTAGGGCTTTGTTTGTAAGAAATATAGCTTGGGTTTCTTTTTCCTGTTCTCTTTCTTCTTGATGTTTCTAACAAATGAATGTGACTCTGAACATATGAAAAGATAAAAGGCAACACCCCCTTAACTTGTCACTTTTCCTTATTCCCCTTCCTCCAATGTACCATTTCTTGGGTGTTTTGCAGGAAAAATACAAGACCTACTCTGACCCCAAGCGTGACCCGCTAGGGCTGGCCTCACACTGTCTCCCTTCAGTACCCTGCGTTGCTCTCCGTAACAGCCCTGCGGATTCCCATTATTGTGAATTCATTATTATTGACTGCATAAATCTTCATCGTGTTGTAGCTTCATTTACATAACTAGTCACATTTACTGACACTTATGTCACTTTCAATTTTTCTTTTAACTAGTAAAACACAATAAGTTTCCTTCTACGACTCTGCCGTTCATAAGTGATTATATTCAAAGGGTATTTTTTAACATTGGAACTTCTGGGCAAATGACTACATGCCTCCTCTGGTCCTGACAAACATCGTCAAGTTGTTCGTGCAAAGTCTGTCAAATCCAAACCCCTCATTTTCTCCCCACAAGAGTATACATTCAGGGCCTCCCTGGTGGCCTAGGGGTTAAGTCTCAGTGCTGTCGCCTCTGCGGCCTGAGTTCCATCCCCAGCCAGGGCGCTGACCCACATGGCGCAGCAGACCTCTCCTGTCTCCCCGCTGCTCCCTCAGTAGTTTAATTCATTCAGTCTGCCTGTTCTGCTCCCCACTCTGCCTCTGGTGAATCCTCTCACCCCACACACCTCTGGCCTGTACGCATAAATAAAAATTTTTGTAGAAATTTAAAAAAGCAGACTTCTCTAAGAGTACACATTCTGGATTTGTGTCTCTCTAACACTCGATGTTACAGTCCTTACACCAGTGGCCTGTGAAAAAAAAGTAGCTCCATTTTTCTCTCTAATATTTTGAATAAAGCTTAGAATCTTTCACATTTTAGTGACCTAGATTTCTCTTTCTTTGTGCAATTCTCGTTCACACCATGCGTCCATTTTTCTGTGGGTTCAAGGCTTGTCTTTTGCTTACGAATTGGAATGAATCCTTAATTATGGAAACCAGCCATTGGCTGTACATCTTGTTATAATTTATTTAAACTTACATAACAATTTCCTGCGAGATGTTATTTTTATTCAGTCAAATTTGCCAACATTTTATTTAAGGCTTTGTGTTGAACACTCTGCGTGTAAGAATTTTTCTCACTGCAAGATTTTAAATTAGTTCAGCCGTGTTTCTTTCCACGGATTTTGTAGTTTTTTATTTGTTCCGCTTAAGTCTTTGGTCCATCTGGAATTATTTTAGCGGGAGGAGGGAAGGTTTACTTATGATCAGGAGAGTAAAATGATCGGAGCCAAACTTTAGAAATATAAATCTGGCAGCAGCTTATAATTTAGAAGGAAGAAGAGACAGACTAAAGCAAGCCAACCTGGCTGTTGAGATAATAGAGCCTCGGGGAGTTGCGGGCTGAGAAAGCTACACCAGGATGGAAGAAGTAGCCTTCCAGGGTTTCACAAAGCGTGGTCCATGGAGCCTCCTCTCCAGAGATGGGGTATGTCACCCATCCACCGGGGAACGCAGTTTACGATTCCCTCACTTGGAACTTTATAATGTAAAGAATAATAATAAACTCTGCTAAGAAGTGTATTAAAGGCAAACACCAACAATAAAGACAGCTTCAAACCCGTCTACTCCATATTTCATGATCTTACTGAAGCACCTGCAGCCATAATATTCAACACCTCCAAATCAAAACTCCGGGAGGGAAGAGTCTAGAATTGCCTTACATGCTTGGTGGGTATTACCAATATGCGATAAATGAAAAAATAGACTCCGGAGTAAGAGAGACATAATGGGTTAAAACCCCAGTCCTTCCTTTTAATATGCAGTGGGCAATTTACTCAATTTCCTTATGCCTTAATGTCTTCACCTGTAGATGGAAAAGCACCA